TATTCAATACTTTGATTAATAAAGGCAAGTATCCCATATGTCTCCTTATCCGCTTGATACAGCTTTCTTGCTGCCTTCAAGGATCTATAGACATACACATCAAAGTCCCTCTGATCCTCCGTATTTCCCTAAGGTCCTATCATTCAATGTTTACTCCCTTGTTGCATTTGTCCACCCAAAGTGCATCACCTCACACTTTGACAACACACTGGGCAATTACAGCATCACACTCATGACTACTTGCACTTTGTGAGTCATTTTTGTTTTTCTCTTGTCTCCTCGCACCTCTTCCCTGGGTGGAAAACACAGAATTTTAAAGAGCATTTTTGTTGTTCCAGGAAATTATTTGTCATTGTGTTGGAAATACGATTTAATTTTTTTTCACTGAAGCTTTCACACACAAATCCGATAAGTATCATAAATGAACACAGACTGTTCTAGTGCTGGTGACTAGCTGCTACCACTCCCAGTAGCCAATTTATCAGAGGACCACATAGCAGCTCTTGAACAAATAATTCCCATGTCTCTATCACTTTCTCCCCTTTGTTAATTGATGGGTGTAGCCTTCAGGGAGAAGACTTCATACAAACCAACCACCAAGAACTGTACAATTATTTGCTTGTTTATTCAGACAGAGACTGCAACATTGACCATGGCCTGAGGTGCAGCCATTGGATCATTAGAACCAGATTTTGGTGGCATAGAGAAAGCTAGAGATTTGGAGTAATGGACTGTCTGGTTTAAAATCACATCCCACCCAGGACTCCTGTTCTCCAATGTGCTTCCACGGAAAAGTACTGAAATGTTGTGGGTGGTCAGACGTCCTAGAGACAGGACAGCTCAATCTCTCCCATTCCTATCATTCCACCAACATTCTCATTCACGTGTAGATATTTGCTAGTCCACCTGCTCAGGGATGATATTATATACCTCTGGAGCAGGCTGGACTTGAACCTGCGTCTCCTGGCTCAGAGGTAGATCCTCTGTGTAACAAGATCTTCTGGTCAGTCTCTGGCAGCAGGCTGCGTCAGCTGAAGAACAAAATGTCTCCGGAATATTCCCCTTACTCATCGGCCTGTCATTGCAGCTGTCTCGCTGAATACATTCTCTATCCCCAGCGAATAGAAAGCTTCCCTATTTTCTGTTAATTCATGGATATCTCGAACATTAGGCAAGTTTTTACTGATGCAGACACCATAACACAAGCTCGATTTTCTTACCCTTAAACTGATGTTAAGGGCAGAAATGGGAGCGAGAGCAGATTTAACTTTTTGCTGATGTGGTTTTGTTTTGTCCTCTTCCTTTCTCTAACTTCCTCCTCCTCCATCTGTATTATGTACATCACTTACTTTTCCTAATGAAGGTAGAGAAGGAACTGCCACCCAACTCTCTGTCCAACTGCCATTCCTTGTCAATGCTCACCAGTGGCAAAGTATGAACGGCCCTGTTGATTTTTTTGTATCTCTCTTTGCTTGTCCTTCTATCATTCTCTGTCAAAACATGCCTGGACCAGAATTTAGCATCTGAACATCACACCCACCTGCTATAAGATGCAGGAAGGACAAGCTAGGCGAGTCAGGTAGGATTAGATATTCAAGCTGGGAAAGGGTAGATAGCACGTTGGCTACAAGCCAAGGATGGTAACTAAGCACTCATGGGCAAAAGCAGATAAGTGCAGAATTAATTCTGTGCCAAGTTGAGAGCCTTGGCTAGAATGAAACAGTGACAAATAGAAACAACGGGCTGATGGGCAACTCTCAAGGGTTAGCATTGCAATGGGGCAGAGATATGATTTCAGATGTAGCCACAGCTGGCCCTGGCAAAGGGCCAAATGGTGAAAACCAGGCTGTGTGAGGGGCAAGTGGCGAGGTTGCAGTTGGTAGGATTAGAACTATGTAACTTGGAAGACCTTGTGTTATCTCGTGATGGAAAATCATGAGGGTTTGGTTGCAAGCCATCAATTGGTTTTAATTGCTTTTTGATCCACCTCTAAAAGAGAATAACGAAAGAAGGAGTGACTGAGTGAATGTGTTTGCGTTAGAGTTTGCAGCAGCTTATGCCAAATCATGCTTTACAGACACTGTACTCACACATCAATAAAATTATGCATGTAACTATTGACACACTTGTCTCAGCATCTAAGGGAATCACATTCCCTTTCCTCTCATCGGCCTGGCTGCCAATCACTGCAGATGCCTCAGCGAACACATTCTACCTTTCGACATCATTGAGACACTCTACACCAGCCAATAGATCTTTCACCTTCCTCAAAGAATGTCAAATAGGAAAGACAATATCTCCCCAATTTCGATATTACCATGCACATTTTACCCAGGTATTAGCACTATAAATACCACCGACACACAAAATGCGGGTGTAATAAAATACATCTTACATGGGACAGATATTATACAACCGGTGAGTGGAAACCATGCTGTGTAGCGTAGGAAAGACACATATTTCTTACATTACTGAAGCCCTTTGATACAGCAACAGGTAGAGGAATTTGTAGCAAAATACATTGCAAGAGATCCAAGGGGAATTCCATCCCTATCTATGCAATCTGAAGCCACACAGAATCCCATTCCATTCTGTTTGGCAGTGATCATGATGAGATTGGTACCACCTCTGCTGAAACATTGCACGGAATAAATGCACACATTCCAATTTTTTTTCTGTTCTTATCCTTTGGTAGACATTATCAGAGAGTGTTGTATAAAACAGGGCAAAGAATTCCCGGCTGACAGTGTCCTTAAATTATCTCCAGTGCAAAAATTCAACCGGGCCAAATTAGTTAAACACCAAACTGCAAAACATCTTTTCAGCAACTCAGAACAGTAAATGCATCTCATCCTGACCTGAGTAAAACTTTCAGTGGAGGAACATAAACAAGACCTACCTGTGAATGATTCACCATTGGCCAAGGTAAAATCCTTGTGCACTTAGAACATAATGTGTAATAACATTGTCCAACATGTTTTATTATATATGCAACATGAATGTAACCAAGGTAACACAGTGGGGCATTGTGAATATCCACCTGTTATCCCAGCCATTGCAATCTCCCAGGTGAAAGTTTGAGGAATCCAAACTGATTACAACTCCATATTGCAAATGGAAATGGGAAAGAGAGCACAAATTATCTAGTGCAGTCATGAGGAGGAAGCATTCAGAGTGTGAATGGACTTAGAGCTCAAATCTGGATCCAAACCTAGTCATCTTTGAACAACAGTCAAAGCAGAACAAGTTGCTACTCGCATCCAAAACTGGCCGATTGGCCCCGCCCCAGTATTGTATTGGATAGATTAATTTTTGAACAAAGACCGAATTACCTTTTCTGCAATCCATTTCTTAAAAAGGTTTATTCTTTGTCCTGCAGTGTGGTGGGGATAAGTCCTATACAAACTACTATCTCATTTTCCACTTGGGGACCCTGTAGCCTTCAGGACTCCATTTCAAGTTCAATACTTTTAGGGCTAAACACTTCCTCCCATCTACTTCACTCAGCCCCACGCCCCTGGCCCTGTCATTACATGGACTGTTTTCATCACAGCCAACCCATTTTCTTCCATGGTCCCTATTATCAGCTTTTCTTTCTCTCTGGCTCACCATTATCTGTCCCCTTGTTTATCTAACTGCTGTTCTCTATCTCTGGGCTCCACCTCCACCTACCACATCCTATCACCTACTCCCTGCCCCCACACCACTCCCTATCTTCAGCAAACATCCCACCTTTCCTCAGCTACCTTCAGTTCTGAAGAAAGGTCACTGGACCCAAAATGTTAAATCTGTCTTTCCCCACGTAGCTTGCCAGAATTGCTGGTTCCAGAATTCCAGCTCCAGAATCTGCAATTCTTTGTCTTTTTTAGTTAATCAGGTCAATTGGCTTCCCAGCTCCAGTCAGGCAATGGCTGAACATTTGGACGTTCTTGTCTTGGGGATTATTCAATGCCAGTATAAAAACATTGGGTTCCCTTCTCAATGTGTCCCTTGGCCATTTCACAAGTCTTCCCTTCTCTTTACTTGTCTCCAAACTTCTTGCAAAATTGTAGCCCATGTCAATCTAAGTAGTTTGCTAGATGCTTGATGGAAAGGTGCTTGATGGAAAATAGGAACAAAGGAGTAGGTCATTCAGCCCTTCAAATCTGCTCTAACCATTCTGGATCGTGGCCAATCACCATCTATTGATAACACTTCTCACTAGAATATGACAGGATATAGAGGAAAGGACAACATTTGGGATTTTCACCACTGGCTCCTTATGCCTGATAATTACGAGGAGGGATTGGCTGCACCAAAGGGTCTATTTGCATAATGCAATCTTTATTTGGCTCTAAGTCCATCAGCACTCCAAAGCAGAAAAAGGCAGTCATGTTTCACGAGTGCTTCCTTCCTCCAAATGTCAGATGAAAATACAAAAGCTTTCTGCCCGATTTCACATTCCAATCAAGCCAAGTAGATGAGCAGAGATTACGCATATCCTGAAACTCTTTTTGCTGAGAGGAGGTGGGAGCACTTCCTTCATGCAGAAGCATCAGGACATGCTGGATATTTCCAAGCCCCTACACCAGGAAAATCACAGGCTGGGTTGCAGCTCACCCTTTCTACCTTCCCCATATAGACTTCAATCAGAGATTTAATTGGAAAAATCCAAGAAATACGCACTTCACTCAGAGAATTATGATTTCTTTTGGTTGCACGTTATGTTGAGATAAGACTGCTTAGCAGACACCTTGAACACTGACTCAGTCAGAAAACTGTGACAATATTTGTGCATGACAATGCACAACCCACCATCAAATCACCAGGAAAAGAAAAAAACCATGTCAGATAAACCTCTCACTTGCTATCTTCAACTACCAAGCACACCCAAGACCTCAGACCTAGACTGTTGTATCACCCCCCAACCTGTTATAACGAACCATTAAAAAAGCATTCCACAAAGGCACAATGAGTTCAGACAGCAACGGAGAAACTATTCAGAGAAACCATTCACTTACGGTCATTGCACTGACTGCCACTATACGAAGTCATAGAGCAGTCGCACGTGTACCCTTCCCACTGTTGGATGCAGATCCCATAGTTCATGCATGAGTCTTCTTGGCAGGTTGTGCTGGGACCTTGGAGAGGAAGATCAAAAACAAGAAGACAGTTAACAAGAGAGGAAACAAGAGAGAAGCGGACTGCTTGTGTCAAAGGGAGCTTGTGTCACACTGCAGTAGTTTACGAAGGCAGCTTATCACCACCTTCTCAAGGGCAATTAGAGTATGGGCAATCAATTATGACCCAACCAACCATTCCCAGTCCTGAGAAACCTGAAAAGTTTAGTCTGATTTCTCTCCGCATACGCTGCCAGGCCTACTAAAGCTTTTCCAGCAATTTGTTTCTTTATTACAGTATACACAGCTCTTTCGGTTTTTATTCAGGGAGGCCCAAATTCTGGAAACAAATAAAATGAATTTCAAAGCATGCTCACACAATCGTACAAACATTTATACACGCTGCGACCAACCCAACCAAGTCAGGTTGTGGAAGGCATTCCTTCCAACTGGTTTTTCAAAAAAAAATCTCCTGCTTTTAAAAATATAAGCACGTTGTGAACAATTTTTATCAATCGGACAATGGGTATTATGGTGACACTTTCTTGTGTGTTGAGGTTAATTTACTAGATAAATGGAAACTGGACTTCAGAGTAAACTTTTCTTTCAATGCTCTCACAACCCAATTTAAAGGAGCTTCAAGCCATAGTTACAACAAAACAGTGATTTAATAATCAGATTCTTCTTTTACTTCTCCTTCTCTTCTGAAGACATTAGGATTTATTTAAGAGACGAATAAATGAGACTAAATAGATCTCTCTCTCCTGATTCTTGCTGCAATACCACATTTGGAATACCTTTCTATAAAAGGTGTTGTTGGCTGATTTCATAAATAATATTAAAATGGAATTGGATAAGGGCTTGAGGATGAGGAATTTCAAGGAATTCAGAAGGAAGATAGTGGTGTGGATCATAATATTGTCTGGGCCAGAGGCCCCCTATAATGCTCTTGAAACATGAGTTCAAATTCCACCACTGCAGATTTGCATTCATTTAATATTTTACTTGAACTGAAAGCTAGACTCAGTCTCAACAGTGACTGTGAAATTGTCATTAAAAACTATCTGGTTCACTGGTGTGCTTTAGGGAAGGAAATCTGCCATCTTCACCTGCTCTACATGTAACTCCAGACCCACAGCAATGTGATTGGCTATTAACTGCACCACTTTCCTGTCTACCTCTACCATGAGCTTTGATTCCCTTGTCTGTCATGAAAGCACAGAATGACTGTGCAGTAGTAGCTTGGGTGAAGGTAATGGCCTTGTGATATTATCACTCTACTATTAATCCAGAGACTTGGTAATGTTCTGAGGACCCAGGTTCAAATCCCACTGTGGCAGATGATGGAATTTGAATTCAATGAAATATCTGGAATTAAGAATCTAATGATGACCATGAACCGATCGTCGGAAAAACCCATCTGGGTCACTAATGCCCCTTTAGGGAAGGAAACTGCCAACCTCACCTGGTCTGGCTGACATATGATTCCAGACCCACAGCAATCTGGTTGACACTAAACTGCCCTCTGGGCAATTAGGGATGAGCAATAAATGCTGGCTGGTCAGCGATGCCCTCATTCCGTGAATGAATACAAAAAGTGTCATTGGCTAGACCAGCATTTATTGCCCATCCCTAATTGCCAGAGGGCAGTTAAGAATTGACCACATTGATGATTCTCTTGCCTTTTCCCAATAATTCTGTATAGGGGTGGCACAGTGGCTCAGGGGTTAGCACTGCTGCCTCACAGCACCAGGGACCCAGGTTCAATTCCAGCCTTAGTCTGTGTGGAGTTTGCACATTCTCCCCATGTCAGTGTGGGTTTCCTCTGGGTGCTCCAGTTTCCTCCCACAGTCTAAAGATGTGCAGGCTAGGTGGATTGGCCATACTAAATTGTCCGTATTGTGTAGATTAGGTGGGTTACAGCAGGATGGGTCTGGGTGACATGCTCTGAGGGTCAGTGTGGACTTGTTGGGCTGAAGGGCCTGTTTCCACACTGCAGGGATTTTATGATTTTTATTTAAATATCATCTACTGCGCTATTGAATGCTTTGGTTAAACCTATCACCAATATACCTCCAGGAATTGCATTCCCTATCCCAACCACTCACTGCCTGAAAACTATTTTCTCTTATCACGTTTCCTTCTTTTGCAAATTACTTTAAATCTATGCCCTCTCATTTTTGACCCTTTTATGAGTGGAAACAGTTTTATCCCTGTCTTCTCTGTCCATACACCTCAAAACTTTATAAACTTCTATCAAATCTCCTCAGTGTTTCCTCCTCTTCAAGAAAAGAAACAATCTCAACTTCTCCAAACTATCAAAACTGAAAATTAAAAAATCTGTGTAACTCTACCCTAGGGAGGTGATGGCCTAGTGGCAGATGGTGGAATTTGAATTCAATTCTATACAAAAAAAAATTAAGAGTCTAATGATAACCATGACCATGAATCCATTGTTGATTTTTGGAAAAACCATTCTGGTTCATTACTGTCCTTAGGGAAGGAAACTGCCTTCCTTATCGGGTCTGGCCTACAGCAATGTGGTTGACTCTTAACTGCCCTCTGGGCAATTAGGGATGGGCAATAAATGCTGGCCAACCCAGTGATGCCTACATTCCATTAATGAATGGAAAAGAATGAATAAATTCATTTTCATCCACTATCCTCTGGAGAGAGAATTCTATAAACCTCTTTTTCTAGACTTTTCTAAAAAGCCACGGAGAAGAAAGATTGACCCTCATCTCCGTGTGAAAGGAAGCAGCCCTTTATTCTTAAACTGTGTTCCCTAGCTCTAGAGGGACCATTTTCCATCCTATCAAGTCTCCTTTGGATCTTATATGTCTCACCTTTCATTCTTCTATCCAATTGGTGTAGTCCCATAATTTCTCTGAGCTTCCTTTATGGCATATAGTTCCTCAAAAGAAAATCAACTGGGAAAACAACTAACCCATTTCTGAATCTGAATAGAGTCATACAGTCATACAGATCTACAGCATGGAAACAGGGCCTTTGGCCCAACTTGCCCATGCTGCCCAGCTTTCACAATTAAACTAATCCAATTTGCCTGCATTTGGTCCATATCCCTCCATACCTATCCCATCCATGTAGCCATCTAAATATTGCTTAAATGACAAAATTGTACTCACTTCTGCCACTACCTCTGGCAGCCCATTCCAGACATTCACCAACTTCTGTGTGAAAAAATTGCCCCTCTGGATCCTTTTGTATCTCTCCCTTCTCACCTTAAACCGATGACCTCTAGGTTTAGACTCCCCCACCTTGGGGAAAAGCTGTTGGCTATCTACCTTATCTATGCTTCTCATGATTTAATAGAAATGTATAATATAGACTTTATAAGGTCACCCCTCAGTCTCCTATGCTCCAGGGAAAAAGTCTCAGCCTATCCACCCTCTCCAGTCCAGGTGACATGCTAGTAAATCCCTTTTGCACTCTAGCTAGTTTAATAACATCCTGAATAGGGTACGGCAACCAGAACTGCATGCAATACTCCAAATGTGGCCTCACCAACATCTTATATAGCTGCAAGAAGAAGTCTCAGCTCCTATACTCAATACTGAATGTGTCAGCCAGATTTTTTTTTTCCCTCTTATACATTCATGGGACAAGGGCATCGCTAGCTAGGCAGCACTTATTGCCCATCCCTAATTGCCCAGAGGGCAGTTAAGAATCAACCACATTGCTGTGGGTCTGGAGTCACATCTAGGCCAGACCAGGTGAGGATGGCAGTTTCCTTCCCTAAGTGACATTAGTGAACCAGATGGGTTTTTCCCGACAATCGACAATGGATTCACAATCATCATTAGATTCTTAATTCCAGATGTTTATTGAACTCAAATTTCACCATCTGCTGTGGAGGGATTCAAACCCAGGTCCCCAGGACGTTAGCTGGGTCTCTGGAATAACAGTCCAGCGATAATACCACTAGGCCATTGCCTCCTGGTAGAGTTTATCCACATTCTGAATTCTTGCTGGGGAGCCTTTAGAGTCTGTACAAAATCTTGTGACAGGAATCCACATATATCACAGTGCGATGGGTACAGGCCCAGAACCTTAGCTGTTCACCCGACTTCCAAATAAAATAGCAGCATTGATTTCCATACTTTGTCTGTGATTATATTTCCTTTTTATTTTGAAACAAAATGTTCTGGTAGTGGGATCAAAAGAAGTTTGGTAAATGACTACTGCCTCAATCTAAAATGTCACCAAACAGAAAATCCACAGCTGGCATTCTTAATTGTTTAAGCATTCAGTTTTAGGAGGACTGGAATCAATGTTGCTGGGAAACAATCACGATTAGCCGATCACCCTGTTTCCTCTCCACAGATGCTACCAGGCCTGCTGAGTTTTTCCAGCAATTTCTGATTTCCAGTCTCTTCAGTTCTTTGTTTGATTGTGTTAGATTAGCAAAAAGTTGCCTCTGGCATCTTTGAGGGAATGTGGGTTGGAAGATGAGAAATACATCGATTATTTGCTGCATGACTTAAATAGAGGCAAATAACCTTAGGCGAAGAAGAGTTAAAAGATATAAGCACTGCAAGCTTTAAAATAAAAGGCATAACCAAACAAAAGTGAGACTGAATGTGCATCTTTTTAATGAGTGGTGCATTGCAGCTGCCATCACACTCATCACTGAACCAGGCTGTATTTTGCCCACAAGCTCTGGAGAACACCAGGTATAGAATGGGCTGGATGTTTTAAACCCACACAAGTATGTTTACTCTATTGTTCATCTCGTCCCCTTCTCCTCCCCCATCCCCATTTCTCACGTGAGCTGTCAGCATCGGGCCACTCAGTCGCGTTGAGTGTGTTCTGCACATGTTGATGAGATTGTTCCTCAACTGCATTCAATGTTTGCCAATACCTGTTTAAGAGGCACTGAATTCATAAAGAAAACCTGCCCATCAAACACCTGGGACAGAAAGATGAACTGTCAAAAGGAGACATGAATGTCTGGAAGAAAGTGGATAAACTTATTTGAACAGTCAACTTCATTGGAACTGTTAAG